AAATTTATAAATTATTTATAAATTATTGTTATTTATTATAAATTATTTAAAAATCATAAATTATTTCTGTAAACAAGCTCTCAACCAAATTCCTGGTTCTATTAGAAGAGAATTATTTAAGAACAGAAGGCTATCATAGCTTATATGGCTGAAGAGCCACTTTAGTATTCAAATACATCCGAGATAAAATGAGCAGCCTGAATTTATAAGATGGCCCATGGAAAACCCATAGACTTACTGCTGTGAAGTTGTGGCACAAAAACACTAGATTGTATCAGAGGACTTCTGCTGGCCTAAAACTGGAACATTGAAAATAGTTGTTTTTCTAATGACACTTAAAACACTTAATATCCCAGAATAAATATGATCATTAAAGTACTTTATTTCAATAATAGTAGTTTAATAGTCATTATAATTGTTGGCTATCCAGGGAGCAAAATCAACAGCAAGCATTTTTTTTTATTCTTTCTTGCTTTTAGCTTTTCTTCCATTTTCCTGATTATAATCAATGCAACATGTTCTCCTTTTATTCTCCTCATACATTTATTTCTTTAGGTGGAAAATAGCCTGTGTTCTCTAGTTTTCCACCTTCTTTTCTTTTTATTCCCTTTCCTCCTGCCTCTTCCAGCCTTTTAAAAGATTTTTATTTTTATAGGGACATAAATAATAATAATACTTGCCATTTATATTGCAGTCTGCACATTCAAGTTACTGCACTGACAGTACAAATTGAGTAAGAACTTGCAAGAATCTTCTGATTCAGCAGTATTTATCACAGAGGAAATGGAGAATTACAGCCCCGTTTCTCTCACCTCAGTTGCAGAGCAGTAAAGCCCTTCCCAGCACGGCCCCACCTTATCCCTGCCTGATAAATTGCTGGCAACAATCAGAGCTGTACTTCAGCAGCACTGGGGAGCCCCTGTTGTCAGTGATAAATAGATGAATTTGGAATAGTGTGCAATCCCTGTTCAGCCTTCCTCCTGTAGGAAAGCTATATTCATAAAGAGGAAAGAGGTTAAACACAGGCTACAATATTTTGTTTAGCAGATGATGTAGAAAAAGAATATAAACTAAGAAAGCGCTAGAAAAAATATAGGAAAATATTGCAAATTTGAGGAAGGGGGGAAGGTCTGTTTCCATTTTCTTTTTTGAATTATTGTTATTACACAAAGATTTTTTAATATGTCTGCACTCCCCAAAATAATATTGGGAGATGATAATTTCAAAACAGTAGCAAAAGTGTTAGAAAAACTGGGCTGGTCTACTATGCCTTTTTATTCCCTTCTTTTAAACATCCTTCTTAGGTCCTTGCCTAGCACACACTGCCATGCTTTGGTGTTCAGAGCCTCCATACACTGCATAGATCTGTCCTTTGTTCATATTATCCCACCCCCAAAATTGTGTGGTCTTTTATTTCCACTGAAAGTAGTACGTCACTTCACCACTATAACACCTACATTACATCTACACTTTATGGATGCACTTTCAGAGCACAGAGACTTTTTTATATATAATCCCAGAACAAGTGGCAGTAAATTACTCATTTTATGCTAGTACTGTATCTTCTGCAACTTCACACATATTATCACCTGGGCATTAACTTGTTAGAAAATAAATCCCTTTGAATTTCTACTACATCCTACCAGCAGCAATGTTCCTCCAAGAGCCAAACAGAAAACCAGAGGTCCGGTGAGGTCTGTCTCATTCATGATGCTGCCATCTGCAGGCTTCATTGGATTTAGAACTGTTAATGTTTTTTGCCATATATGCTCAAAATTGATCCCAAGTTCTGCAACGAGAAATTGTCCAGGATTGCTCACAAGAAAACAATACTTTTACAGAAACACATCAGATACCACAAACCCAAAACAAGCAAACATATTAATCACTTAAATTAAGATAATATTGTAGGATGACATATTCTGTAGTAGGAACATGTTGTCCCTGCTATACACCCAGTATATCTGAGTGTCATCTCTGATTCTAAATTGGAATATTAATTTATTAAATCCAATTTTAGGCAGTGAGCCAAAAAAACGCCCTCAGCATTTTTGAGTTAATATTTGTTTTTCCTATATTTAAACCACATATACCAAATGCCACACTAGCTTAGATGTTGAAAACTATGCTAATTAACAGTAACTGCAAAATTCAAGGTACTCTAGAAAACTGAGGACAGAGATATATGCTTTAATTCTGGCAAATCTGACAAGAGATGTGTCTTAAGCCTGAACTGCCAGGGGCACTTAAAAATGTCATTCTTTCCTTCAAGGCAAGTTAATAATACTTTGTGCAGTGCTTCATAGGCTTTTTTTTTGCATTTAAAAAGTAACTACTGAGGACCCCTAGAAACAGAACATAAATCTTCCCCATTAAAGTCAATGGGAAATCTGCCATTAACTTTACTGGGGGAAAAATTTCTCTTGTAACTTCTGCAGAAACACTTCAACTTGCAAGAGTAACCATCTTCCCTGAGATGCTCCAGCAAGGGAGGTTCCAAACTGGGTGCCAGAATTACCGAGACTGACAATGTGTTAGATGTGTTTGGAAATCCAAGTCTTTACCTTATTTGACCAATCCATCATCTCGAGCTGAGACAAAACGTTATATAAATATAGTTATTCTGTATTAAAATGTGTGTCTTTGGTCAGATATATGTGGAACACAGATAGGAACACCTTTGAAGCCCTGCGAATCAGAAGCAGTTGTATTTCAACATCCTTTTCACAGGGTAGGTTGCCTGTGGAGTTAAATGCTTGGAGGTCTGAGAGGTAAAGATCTAGCAGTTGTCTGTATCAAATAGAGTTATCTTGCTGTTTTTAAAGTAGTAGGAGTATCTTTTAAGTAGTAAAAACTCTACTTGCCTTCCAGTATGCAAAAGCAGGATGAATATGCCCTTTTAACATTATGCTGAAATAATTACAAATTCTCTGATTTTTTTTAAGGTAGCACAAGTATTTTGTAAACCACAAAATCAGCCAGTGGCATATAGGATGGTTCAATCATCATAAAGAACAATATTGTTCGTGTAGTTAAATGATCAACTAATTGAAGTTGATAGCAGCTTTCACAATTTCTTTCTCACAGAAACAAACTATTTAGCATCTTCAAACTATTAAATTTATCACTAGATATGCAAAAAGGATTATTATCAGTACTTATTAATTATAGATGTTCTAATATGTACACAGGATAAACACAGAGTGGAAAAAATATTTGGCAATGTGAATGCAAACTTATTGTTATACTGTCATCTAGTGGTAGTAAAGTATATGCTGTCTATGCCATGAAGGTCTAATGAATCCATGGCAAAATCAAATAAGAAAATGTAGGTTTGGGGGCTAGGAGCTGCTGGCTGAAGTTCAAACAGCCAGGCTTCGCAGCTCTGCTGCAGTTTCTCTAGAGACTGGTACTAGCTGGCAAAGAAAAACGTAGGCACCCCCAGGAACTACACACATCGTCCATGGTTTTATTTTACCTTCTAGCAAAGGAGGTTCATCGTCAAAGCCATCAGCATAACTAAGATGAGAGCGAGCATCAGGACTGTACACTGGATGCAAAATCTGACCTGTGTAACTCTGAGAGGGCAGAAGCATTTCCAATGGGGCAAAAGCACTGTCTGGAGGTTGCTGTCCTGTCTGGCTCCTAGGACAAGAAGCAAATCACAGCAAAACAAGTAACCGCAAGGAGCAACTTCACAGCAGCTTAAGTTGCTTGCCCACATGCCATGGTTTAAACTTTTACCTATTTTCAATACGGGGAATTTGAAAATTTTCTGGGCATGGTAGCTGCAATACTGAGCTGCTGACTATGGCTTTGCTTGCCTTCCCCTCCGAAACCCGTCAGGGCTCCTTGCCAGCCTGCCAGCATGGTGCAACCCATCGCACCCGCTTCTGTGCCCATCCAGCTCAGGCAATGCCCAGTGCAGGCCCCCAGGCTGGGGGTGAGGGGAAAGGGAATTTAGGAGCTGTGAGGGCACCCGCAAATCATTCCTGACTTTTCCGCCGAGCAGCCTAGTGACATTCTTCAGATATGTCCATATTGCTAATGCAAGAGCAATATATTTATTTTTTCTTAAATTTGAGAAAGACCTTTAAGGATTTCTAGCAGTATGTGCCCCAAAATCCACATTAGTAACATGAAGGTCAGTCACTCCAATTAGGTAAACAACCTGTAATGTCTATATATATAAAGGTAGCATGAAACCAAATCCTTTATAAAGAGAGGTTAAATTATAAGTAATTCTGCCTTGGGGAAAGTCTAGATGATGTCTTGAAGCTCTTTCCTGCTCTATTTTATGTGATTCACTAATTACTATTAATATTATTTTATTTCTGCATGACCAGAAAATATAAACCAAGCCTGAACTCTCATTTGACTGAAACCCATATGTATATAACAGCCAGTGACATCCAAACAGGCTGATAGTAAAAATGAAAAAAAAAAAAAAAAAAGAAAGCTCGGAAATAGTAAGGATATAACCCAGAATAACTCAGGAACTCCTAGGGAGAGCTAGGGCCAATCTCTCATCCTTCGATTTGCACTTCAGTGATTTAACTAAACCCATTCCTTATTTCCTGAGATTTTCCAAGGTGGTGGCTCAGACCCTGTGGAGCACTGGCTCCATGGGCAAGAGTGACTAAACACCTTTGTGGGGCACAATTTTTTTGCCAGGAGGCCTGAATGCATGGCTGGGAGGAACACTGTTGGCTTGAGCTGGTCTCCTGCTGTTCATCACCCTCTGCAAGACCTGAAGCCAGCCAGATCCATCAGCTGCTGAACAGGGAAGCTGCAGCAACATCCAGCCTCCTACCACACAGTCTGGTAGAAATCTCCTTAAGGGGAAACTCTCAGAAGTTTTTCCCTCAGTGTCCCTCATGGGCAGAACTTACCAGCAGGTGTATAAAAAATAAGAAAAATATGAAACAATAAGATTCTTCCTGTCTTTCTAGTGCTATGGCTTGTATTTCTCCACTAAAACTTCCACTGTATTGATGATGCAATCCTTTTTGACAACTGCATGCTGGTTTTTGCATTAATTTCATCTGAGCTTTGAGATATATTTCCTTTTTAATTTTTTTTTTATTTTGGGGTTTTTTTTTTAATTGTATTTGTAGCATACTTACTTTCTGCTTCCACCATCATTTCCATTAGACCCATAACTGTTGTAACTTTCTTCCTGGCCATCTATGGTATAACCGGACTGGTAAAAGTCAATGTGAAATTGCTCGAAATTTGACATCCTGATTGGAAAAAATAACATAAGTATTGATAAAATACCCTTTGGAAAAAGCCAATATCTATGTTTTCAACTGTCCTAAACTGAAATGAAAACAATAAACCTTAAAGCCACAAACTCAAGAGAATCTTTCCATAGAAACTCATGATAATTTGGAAGTAACAAAAATGGACTCTTTACTTTCATTTATTGCAACAAGAGGAATTAGTCTGATGTTATAATGAATCACTATATATTAATTTACAAGTGGTATACAAGACTTCCTGTCTTGTTAGTGTTACCAAATATAACTTAAGTAATTTTGGAAGCTATACATCAAGTGAACTGTTGTTTTAAACAGTTCACTTTCCTATTTTAAAAGAAAATTGTGGCCATGTCTGAATGCTTAGAAATTAATGTTTTTAAGAAGTATTTTGGGTGTCAAGTCCAATTACTGTTTTCAGGTATTTGTGCCTTGCAACAGTGTATACAAACACCATAAAACATTGGAAAAATACAAATATATTCACAAGAATTGTGATTTCTGTTTAAGGACACTGTAGCTGGCATATTAGGAGTACCAGATAAACATTGTCACTGGTTAGCTACATGCCTTTGAAGAGGACAGCATACTGAATGATTGAAAGGTAAAGAAAACATGTTAATTTTTTTTGCTGACCCATAGTTCAGCTCTGTAGCTACAGACTGATTAGACTAAGGAAGGAACAACCTGTCTGTTTTCCCTTCCACATTGTGACTAACCTAGGATAGGGTCATTCCCGATTTTGTAACTTGGTGAATTTTGCACACACTGGGCCCATTTCCCATGTCCTGTGTGTAGGCAGGACTGGTGGTCTGGGTCATATATAAGCAGCCTAAGAAATGAAGAACATTTGCTCTTTAAAACATCTTCTGGCATTACAGAGTGTTTAAATAGCAAAGATATTTTATTAATTCTTAGATTTGGTCTAGGCTAGCTGTAAATCCATAAGACTGCTTCAAAATTGGCAGGTCTACCAAGGCAAGTAATTCCATGCCTTGAGTAAGAGTACTTACAAGATTAAGGACCGACTCTGTTTTGCTTTGGTGTTACCCTTACGCTAGCCACATGCAGCAAACACGTGACACCTGCTTGGAGCAGTGCATTGGTTCAGGGAGCCCCCGACCACTGACGGGGTGAGGCTGGAGGGTGCCTCTGGGCCTTGTCAGGTCCAACCCGCTGCCCAAAGAAGGGTCATCAACAGCAGGGCTGCTCAGGGCCCTGTCCAACTGGGTTTTGAAAACTCTCCTCCCAGCTAAAGTTCTTCAGTGATTTAGGGAATGGTCTGAGCAGGATTTGCCTGTAAATTCATAGATGGATGCATGTGTTTCACCACTTGGCTAGCATTTATGTAGCCAAGTGGATGTTTATGTTATAGTATGTTTATGGTATATAGTACGTACGTTTCTTTAAAACACACAGAGAAGTTATACAGCCTGACTGATAACTATACCAAATTTACTTAGATTTTCATGTAAGATATTAATCTCTCCTAACATTTCCCATTTTCTTCACTTTTGCCCTCTTCCCTGGCTTTCCAAATGCCATTGACAAAAATACACTTTTCCTCTCACAGTTACTTAGTTATCTCTATATTTATATATATAAAATAAAAGATCTTTACAAATCTCTTTGCAAGGTAAAAGTTATAAGGATTAGTATTTCATCAGGGACCTTGAAATGGTGCATATTACAGTTTCTAAACTGTATCCCATAATCAGACTAATCTGTGGGGACCCAATTCCTTCATTTACCTAGAGCATTCAAAGTGGAAGTTATGCTTATATTCTTTTCTTAATTGCTCACCAATCATGCAGGTTTTCCAGATTTAGAAGAGAAACAATTTTTGTAAATATGAACTAATACAAATTAATTGTACTATTTACTGTGATTTTAGTTGGAATTGTGTAGCAGTTATGCATTTGTTCAATAAAGATTTTACATGGAGTATATTTTTAAAAAGTTTAGTTGGTACCGTTACCCCAATAGTTCAGTTCCAGTAAGTCTTAATGTTCTTTGCTATCACTATAAAGAATGAAATAATTACTTAACCAGGTATGCTACAATCCGTATAGTAGAGATCAGAAAAGATAAACTTATTTTTCAAAATAATTTGTAGTTAAGATCACTTACTTTTTAAGATATTTGATGAAAACTCCAGTCTGTTGAATTTACATGTTGGAGAACACCTAAAATATCCTCTCGCTTCAACAGGGATGAGCTTAGTGCTATTTATAAGATTCTAAATTTGATCTTTGAACAGATGCATATGAAGGAAAAAAACCCCACAACCTGTCAATATCATGGCCAGCATTTAACAAGAGCTAACAACAATAAGCAGAAAAGGATAGGAATCTTCAAGGAAAGCAGAACTATATGAACAAATACTGTTCTATATATTTCAACCCAATAATCTAGATTGTAGTTTAGACCGTCCTTCTTACGTAGGTATTTATAAAGGTCCTGGTGGGACCCTCTTGAGCTGAGCTGTTAGATATTAAAAAGTTTTAACTACATGTATTAACACCTGTTAAATGAGCAGGTTAAATAGATTTACTTGGGTGTATATTTCTAGCAGATGTTCCCATCATATGGACTATGGACCACATGTGGCCAAAGACCCAGTTGTTGTGGCTGGCAGAGGGAGCTTTCCATCCCGTGCCTCCTGGGGAGAAAGTGATGCTCCCCAGGACCACAACAGCAAAGGGAGGGAAGATGAGGTCACCGGGGGCCTGGTTCCTCTGCTGGTCCAAGGCCAGGGCTTCATTCTCCAGGCAGATCCCTCTGCTCCATCACTTCTCCAGGAGCTCTCATCCATCTGCAAAGCAGCCCCAGGCTGCTGGAAGGTCTCTTGCACCGGGATCAGGGCAAATCTCTACTTAAAAGACAGCAAAGCCTGCTCTGCTCTTTGAGGGCTTTTATTAATGTGCAGGCATCAGATTCACGGTTAATTTTTTTTTGTGCAATGCTCCATGTGATATCCCTTTTGTTACCTGACTGGTTACTAATGAGGAAACTTAATTCTACAGTGTTCGCTACTAGAAAGCTTGTAGCACAGTATGGATTTTGAAATAGTACTTAAACTTCAAGGAGAGCTTTCCTATTTACACATGCTTTAGTATCAGATACTTAATCAGCCATAACAGGTGCTGCTTTTTTAACTTACTTATTAGATAGTTTCCCAATGAGCACTTGGGCTGGTTAATTCAAAGAATGGGACATTACATGGGATATACCATCAGGCCATTAATCTATGCCTCAGGTGCATACTAAATTCGGTGAGGTTGAAGGCCAATGACTTCAATTTCATTAGGAGAATAATCATGCCCTGTTAGTACATGACCTACAATGCTATGAAAGTATTATAATATAAGTGCATTTTTAAATAAGAAAAAATGAAGTATACCATGTTTTCACTCAGTATATATGTCCAAAAAAGAGCCCAGAACTGAAGGATGGTGAGAAGCAGAAACAGGTTATGCCTGTTTATTTTAACTATAAAATTGACTTGGTTACTTTTGATATTTTAAATTAGAAAAAGTTATATACATACATATTTTGCATACAAATATAAATACACACACACATACTGGCTGCCAGATAAGAATGGGGAATAACAGACAAGGCACTTTAGTGAAGGAATTTAAATAGAAAAAAATACAATGACTAGGAGTTGGGAATGCTTGAAGAATATTTTAATAGCTGTTTAACAGTTTAGTGTATCACAGTTAGAAAAGTAATCAACTTGAAAATTAAAAAATAAATTAGAATTGAAACATTTCTTTCTATATATAAAATTAAAACAATATACTTTATTATACATATTATATACTACATAAATATCTCAGTGTATATAGGCATATAAATGGACATCTAAAATACAAAAATGAAAAATATTAGTTAGACGTGATGATGCAGACAATTGATTAAAGAATAAAAATAAGGCAAGGTTAAGAAGATAAGATGAGCAAGAGAAGTGTGACCAGCAGGACGAGGGAGATGATTCTCCCCCTCTACTCTGCTCTCATGAGACCACACCTGGAATACTGTGTCCAGCTCTGGAGTCCTCAGCAGAAGAAGGACATGGACCTGTTGCAGTGAGTCCAGAGGAGAGCCACAAAGACAGTCAGAGGGCTGGAGCACCTTCCATGAGAGAACAGGCTGAGAGAGTTGGGGTTGTTTAGCCTAGCAGACAGAATCAAACTAGTACTGCCATTCTCCTATCAGATGAAAAAGACATAAATATTTAATTAGAAATGCTCAAATCAACATTTTAAAATTCTGCATCTAAGAGTTTTAGAGGAAGTGGTCAAAAACATTCTACATTGTTGAGCTGTGAAACAACAGTAGAATTTGAGAAGATCAAAACTAAGCAAATATGACATTTTGTAAAAGGCTAAATGAGGTGCCCTGAGCAATTATTGGCCCGTCACCATAACATCAGTCCTAGCAAGTTATGGGCTCAAATAATAAATGACTGAATCAATGGATCCAGTCAACATGGGCTTTTGGAAACTAGCTCTCTTCAAACTAGTTTATTTTCTAATATGATTTGTAGTTCAGAAAGGTAATCACAGATGACCTATATTCATACATGGCATTTTACTAGATTTTACTTCAATAAATGTAGAACCATCACTGCTTAAAGGGGCAACCACTTGTTATGGGTTGTCTGATGGCAAGGAAGGGGTTAAGGTGTTGCCTCCGTTTCTTTAAATGACTCTTAACGAGTTATCCCCCAGCCCCCCTCCTAGCGTTTAGTAACAGGGGGAGTGGGGGAAGGGACACCACACTTAGCCTTGTGTAAGAAACTGCTTGAAAGGCAGGGTCCCACCCAGGAACTTCCCCGCCCAAGCCAGGATCAGCCAATAGCGCCTCTGCGAATAACATATTTAGGAAAGAGCATAGAACAATAGGGTGGGGGAGAGCACCCCGCGCGGCCCTGGGAGTTGGGCACTGCAGGCTGCCGGCACGGCCGCCCTCCCACCTGCTGGGCTTCTGCGAGGGATGTGCGGTAGCCCAGCCCCCTCCATGGCTCGACCGGGAGCCCTTCTTCCCGGGTGCCGATGAAGACCTTGGATGGCAGAGAAGAGGGATGCTGGAAGAGACGGCCACGCAGGTACTGAGTCGGCCCATGGAAGAGAACGCTCTCAGCATTTCCCCTGCCACGTGGTGAAGAGAAGAAGCAGCCGTGGAGGACTCCACGCACAGAAGCTCCAGCACAGTTGGGGGAGTTGCCAGGAGACTGAAGCCTGTCTGAAACTACATAACAGCCGAGAAAGAGAGAGAGAGAGACTGTGAGGAAGAAGATAAGCAGCGGGCTGACTGAGCCTTCCCCCACTTTTCCCCCCCATGTGCTGCCGGGGGGGAAGAAGGTACAGAACAAAGCCTTTGGGCTTTGGGACGAAGGGAGGGGTGGGGGAGAAGTGCCTTTTGTGTAAGATGTGGTTTCTTTCTTTCAATATCCTGCTTCTTGTTGTAAATAGTTAATAAATTCAGTTGTTTTATTGTTCTTCACGAGTCGTGTGGGTCTCTTGCCCGTGACCCTAAGTGGTGAGTGAAACCCTCCCAGTTCCCTGCCTCAGCCCACCAGGTGTGTAGAAAACTGTCCCCGCGGTTTTATAAACCACGACACCATTATACTGATGAAATAAGTGCTATCTGATGGGTGCCCAATGTAATTGTAAAAGAGGAGAGGATTTCTGATGGTGTCTTATGGGACAGAATATTTATAAACCTTATCTAGCAGACACTTTGAAGAAAAATCTACCAACCAGAGCCAGTCACAGGGTGGTTCAACCAGAATCTGTTAGAACAAAACAGAGAGTAAATAAAAAAAAGATCCTTGAAGCTCTTAGTCAACAGTAAAATAAAACTCAGAGCAGAAGAGCTTGAAACTTTTCACAATGACAGCAGCATTGTGCTCTTGACCACAAGAGCAGTTTCCCAACAGCGCTAGCAACTTTCTTATAACAGGATGGCTGATGATGAGACGAGATATTGTATTTTAGTTCAGGTAGGGAATTAATTCAGTAATGCTCCATGACCTTCATTTATCCAGGATTATAAACTAGAGAGCACAGGTGCTTTCTAGTCTTAAAATCTATGAACAAGAAATTATTTTATTCAGGGGCAGGTTTGAAGAACCAATAAACAGTAAGACTGAAAAGGAACAGAGAGGGGCTAGGAAAAATGGATGCATCCATGATGACAACCGCTATAGCAAATATTAAATGTTGAAGTTTGGTGTGAAAGGAGCACAGAGTTGATATTTACTGGTACAGCTCAGCAGAATGAGCAAAGGGACACCTGAGCTGAGCATTTCTTCAGGTACCTGATGTTCAGTCCATCACTGACACACTGCATTAGAGAAGTCTGTCATGCATGCACTAACATAAGGAAAAAAAGAACTTGTTGCACCTCAAGGCTTTAGAAGAGAATGTGACTATAACCTCACTTTCTTTGATTGACAGGTACACTGTTTGGATGAGGTCTAATCATCAAAAATGAAAATGACAATTGAAGATAATGAGCATAAAAAAGATGAACAGAGTTGATGAAAAATTTGAGAATCTCTACAGGAAACTCAAAATATTTTTCTAAACTGCTAGGGTTTTGTTTATCTACTTTTTCCATCTTTCCTGAAACGGAAAACAGACAATGAGGAGAAAAAAGCATCAGAAAAAAAAAAAATCCAAAATTGGGTTAACTGACCTGCTCAGATTAATGACTTACAAAAAAGTGAAAGGAACTTGATTTTTTTTCAGAGTTTCTCAACTTAAACAGTCTCTCTTCTTGTATAACACTTCTGTTCTAGGATTGCTGAACAAAAGGCTTCTTTGCCTTATGTAAAAAAACATCTTGAAGAGTTCAGTTTCTGTTCCTTGGAGACACTGCCTGGATATGGATAAGTCAAAAAAAAGCATTACATGTCTGCTTATGTTGTTGATGTCTCTTATGAGAGGAAGGACAATTCTGAGAGAAACCTTAGTTCTATGGTATTGGAACTATCAGAGTGAGATGGACGATAGACTAATACCTTGTGGTTGAATTCTTTAATATCCAATAACCCCCAAGACAGAAACTTTAGTTGAAGATTTTTTAATGGATAAATCACACATAATAGCTTGTTCTCAGGTTGATTCTTTGGTGTCTAATAAGCACA